AGGCTGTGCCCGGCCCCGTGCCCAACGGCAACCACAGGTACTGTCGCCTCTGCAACATCAAGTTCAGCAGCCTCTCCACCTTCATCGCCCACAAGAAGTATTACTGCTCCTCCCATGCCGCCGAGCACGTCAAGTAAAGCCCCCCACACACACTGCCCCCCACTACTGCTCGGAGGGGCTGCAGGGGCTGGGGGACCAGGAACCAACACCCAGCACCCTCCCCTTGCAGGGGTCAGGGTGATGGAGGACCCCCAGGAGGCTCCGCCGGGGTGGCTTCAGCATCCGGAGGTCCTTCCAGTATCCTACCTCTGCCCCTGCCGCAGCCAGGGCCCGATGCTGCAGGGAAACTGAGGCAGGGAAAGGCGCACGGCCCTGCCCGAGCCGGGGGGTTGCGGGGGGGCTCTGCTCCCAGGTAGACACTACAGGGATGGGGAGGGGGCACGGCGCAGCTGGGCTTGGCCCTGCCCTGGGCACCCTAAGAAGTGTGTGTGTGGCCCCCGCTGCGGACCAGACCCTGCAGTGAGACAGCACTGAAGCCGAGGATGAAGCAACCCTGGGAACCGTGTGTATAAGTGTGTACAGAAATAAATATGTCTAATAAAGCCAGGCTGCCGCCCGCGTGCGGGTGGGGAGGCCGCGGGGGCTGGCACGGCCACCATCGCCTCCCCCCCCCCCCCCCCCCCCCCCCCCCCCCCACCGTCGCCCCGTGGGGTCAGGGGCATCGGGCTGGGCAGGGGGACATGGGGCACGTATAACCACAGGGTGGCAGGGACAGCCTGCAACAGTGGGGCAGAGCACAGCGTCCCTGTGCCGTCCCTGGCACCCCTGGGTGTCACACATCTGTGCCACGGGGCGATGCAGCCACCAGCCCCCAGGCTGATGGCTCGTTAATTATCAGGCTAATGAAGGCCCCACAGCCGCAGGTGGGCTGTGCTGCCCCGAGCCCAGCTCCGGTCTCTGCCACGTCGGTCAGTCCCACACTGGAGCCCCAGACCCCTGCGGTGAAGTCCCCAGGTGAGCGGGGCTCAGGTCCTGTGTCCCCTGCAGTGCATCACGGGGGGGGGGGGGGGGGAAGGATGCCCCCCAAGCACAGTCTCTCTTGCCTCCCCGCAGCACTTCCCAGTATAGCATAGGTGGGCTGTGGGTCGTTCCCCTCCCTCCCAGCTTGCCCAGCCTGGCTGGCAGGGCTTGTGCTTCAGGGACCCAGTCTGGGCTCCCCGTCTCCCACTCTTCCCAGTGAGGGACGTGCCTGCCAGGTTGACAGAACCCAGTGTCACCCCAGGTTCTGTTTTGTTTCCCAGTCTGGGATCCCTGGAGCTGTGGGGTGGTTGCAGTCCCTCTGGGGCCGTGGTAGCTCCCCCTGCACGGGGCTGCGGACCCCAGGGGCTAAACCACCCACCCCAGGGCAAGAGCGGCGTACCCTCTCCTCCTCATGGCTTGCCTGCAGTGCCAGGAGGGAGTCTCGACTCCGTGCCAGCGCATGGGGGCCAGGCCTTGCGTGCCAGCCAGGGTGCTGGGGTGGCAGGGAGGAGGACAAAGGCGGCAGCTCCCTTGGGGAGTGCTTGCAACAGGTCCCCTCCTTGCACGCTCTTGCACCACTGCTCAGCACAGCCCCAGCGTGCCAAGTGGGGCAAGTGGCCACGTCGTCCCCCCCCCAACCCAGTAAAAGTGAGCTGAGATGCAGCTGGAGTCAGCAGAGCTTTACTTAAATAAATATATTTACAGAGTAGCAGATATTGCAGCGAAGAGCTGGCCACGTTCAGCCAGCACAATGCAAGGAGAGGCTGTGCCAGGCATCACAGCAGCCTCCCCCCC